CAGACGTGTTTCCCCTTCTGCCGCCCGGCTGCCCGTGCTGCAATCGAGACACACTGCAAACAAGGTCCGTATAAAGAAAATAACCTTTATTAGACAAATCAATTAAATCCTGAAAAAAACAGCGTCAGGTAAACATTACTAAAGGTTTTTCCAGCAATGCAGAAACCTTTGAAACTGAGAAATTCAGGGAGTTTCACGTTCCTCTTGTTGCATGAGTAAGTTCTCTCCCTCTTGCGACGTGAGCTACTGCTGTCTCGACAGCCCCAAAGTCTTGCATTAACTTCGCCCTTATTTGCAAACAGCGACTTCCAAAATCTTCCCTGTGCAACTGTTTCCCACACGATTTGGTACAAAGCTGTCAAACTGTTCTTTTTTTAGGCAGCAAAAGGAACACAAGGTCTAAAAAACATCCAGCTTTTTAAAAATAAACAAGTGTTCTGTGTACAGCACAGGAATTTCCAGACTTGAAGGAACGTCCTTCTGTGTCAGAGGGTAGCTCAGGCGGCCGAGGTTTAACACGGGGGAGGGCAGCGCTGCCCTGTCGAGGGCCAGGCAGCTCCCCCGCCCCAGCGGCTACGGGGAGAAAACTGCACTTAAATAAGTTACTGCCCCCGTCGTCTTCCTCAGGCTAAATGCGGCACCGCTGCTCTCCCATCTGGGGGAGCCGATTTACAGCGCGTCAGAAACCAGGAGTAACCAGGAGCTTGGCAGCAAGTGACTACCGTCTCAAAACCCGCCCTAAGACCAGGGAGAGGGTGCCACAGCCGCGCAGCGAGCTCTGGCGCTACTCACAAACAGGCAACCTCGGAACACGGGGCACGTCTGTGCTCCCGTTACGCCGCGCTACTTCAGACCACACGCGCTTAAGGTTCAGCATTACAATCAACCCACGTTCTACTCGGAACCCATCGGTCTCAGATGCCGCCACCGTCCAAAGCTCCTCAAACAAGCCACGACGGTGGGACTGAAGTACCTGGAGAGGGGCTGAGTCGGAGGCGAAGCAAGCGGCCAGTCCCCGTCACCCCAAAACCCGGGGCCCAGGGACAAGGCACGCTGGAGTTCGCCGCTCGCACCCCGTGCGACCGGGACCTGACCCAACGGAGGGCGCGAGCCTTGCCGCCGGGACAGCAGCTGCGCGGGGCAAGGGGCTTCAATCGGAGCCAGGAACTTTGGCGCTTCGGGCCCTCCGACCGCTGGCAGACGGCTCCCTCGTCGTCACTCCTCGTGACGTCTCTGCTGGCTGCTCTGAACTCCCCGCTCCGCTGCCCCGGCCTTCCCGCCGGCCGGGATCCTCCCCCGCTCCTGGGGGAGAGGCTCAGGTTTTACAGGGTTCAGCTGGCGGCTGGTTAGTGCAGAAATGGCACAGGGAGAGCGGAAGAGCCGACAGATGGTTAAGACAGAGATAAGCTCAGCGCTGCGGCACTGGAAGAATCATCTGAAGAAACAATTCACTGTAACAATGGCATTGCTTTTATTAAAACAGAAGTGTTAAGCCGAGAAAATAAATTATTGCTACGATAGACATATTTAGAACATAGGGAGGGACGTTAAATCTTGAGCTCCAGGTCAATATAACCCCGAAACAGAAAGTTACACTACTTTTCTTAAATACCTCGGTTTCTCTTCGTGCCCTCCCAAAAAACTTTATAAAATGTGCAGCTTACAGAACCAACAGTAAGAGTCACTTGTAACAAAAATCTGTACAGCTCATAGCTTTAAAAATAATACATTTTGTTTTTCAAACTGCTATGTTACTTATTACTCATAAATACCGGGCTAACAAGTTTTGAATGCCCAAGGTCCCATCCAACACCAAAGCCATTACGCGCAGCCGACAGAAACCTCCTTGGCGCTTCCCCCCAGCCAGAGGTCAGGTTTTGGACTGTTTGAAAGAGCCTGATTACGCGTTAAAAAAAAAAAACAAAACAAAACCCCAAACCAAAAACAACCCAAAAAAAATCTTCGTAGGTGAAGGCTGTCTCCTTCTGCTGGTCAGAGGCCTGGGGTCTTCAGTGAGTTTGAAATGGCAATCAAACCTGGAACACAGCACCGTGCAATGGGTTAGACTGGCCGCGCTGGGGTGACGCGGCAGGATCCCACGGGTCCCTCTGCCCCGGCCAGCAGGGATTTTGCAAATCGCCTGAAAACCACTGTTTGTCAGAGCTGCGTTTTGGTGGGGAAAGGACGTTTTACCGGGGGAGCCTCGCAGGAGAAGGGCGGCTCTTCCCCCACGCGGAGGGCTGCCTCTGCGCCTCAGGACTCGCCCAAAGGCTGAGGGGAGGGCCGGCAAACCCTGCTGCTTCTGTGGCCACTTCAAAGGTCTTGTCTGTGACCTCCCCCCACAAGAAAGGGCTCCGGATCTTAGATTTTAACCTTGGCTGGTTCCGTTCAGCTGGTTATGAACTCCTGTACCTTGGCAGATCACAAACCATGGGCCTGCGTGCTTGTAACACCCCCACGGTGCCAAACCTACGAGCCACCTACCACCCTGTGCCCTGACCGCCGAAGCCCTAACCCTGCCTCTCTCGTGTTCACACCCCTCTGCTCCCGGTGAAAAGGGAGGCTCAGTCCTAAGGACAGAGAGGAAAAAGCTGGGCCAGAAGCGGGCTCGTTTGAGCGGGGCCTGACACGACCTTCCAAGAGCTGCCACCCCCACGTAGGAAGCCCTGCGTGGCTGCGTGTCTTGCCAGGGCTCATCCCTCCTCAGGTCAACAGCGATTGCCTCGCAGACAAGGTATCCTCCAGAAATCCGTAAGTACAGGAGCAACATCTGGCGGCTCCCTCAGGACAACCTGACCACAACCTAGCAGGTCCCTCTGCCTGGTGACGCGCAGTTTCCTTCGGAGGTTCAAAGGAAACTGTGGGATCAACCCAGCTTGGGGAGAATACCGTGGATTCCCCAAGGCAGTTCAGAGGGACTAACGAAGAGCAGGATTTCGGCAAACAGGCACGAGAAACAGATTAGTGGTTAGAGAGCTGGGCAGCATTCAGAGGAAAGCAGCTCATCTGAACACTGATGACTGGGTGGTGCTCAAGCCTCTGCTACCTGAAAGTGATTTTGCTTGGTTTGCTTCTGCTCCTTCAAACCCGGGAGGCATCAGAGCAGCTGTTTAAGGCAACGGCTCTATGGGAGCCATCTCTGTGGGAGCTGGTCTTCTCCAACCAGATGAATCAGAGCCTCAGAGAGCGGTCAGGAACGCGTGCGGAAAACTTCTCATCGAGAAGCGGAGGGTGAGGTTCTCCTGACAAGCCTGACCAGCACTCAGAGCTGCTGGAAAATCCCCTTCAGGGGCTACTTACAACAACTCCACTTCCTTAGGCGGTATACGTGTGCAGAGGGGCTCACACTATTGTCGAGGGACTTATGGTGACCTGGCCTGCTTTCTGCAGAGGAGAGAAGCCAGCATTAGTACAGGGTTAGAGGACAACAGCATCAGGACACGATCTAGTGGGAAGGGAAGCGGCTGAGAACTCTCCGGAACATAGGAGGAGACACAGTGACATCTCAGAGCGACGGGCTCCCGGCTCCTCCATCTCATCACTCCCCAAAAAAGGCCCAAACCTCCCAGGAAAGGAGCTTAGCAGCATCTGCAGCAGAGCTCCATCCGTCCCAGGAGGTTACGTATGCACCCCAGCCCGTGACAGCATTAAAGCTCCTGTGTGTGCAGCATCCCCTCCTGGTGTGGCCTCCAGCGCTGCAGGTCCTTTCCGGTGCATCTCCTCGGGGATCTTGGCCGCCGCAGGGGAGGCTCTCACAACAGAGGGGCTTTCGCCTGCCCCAGGGGCGGCGAGTCTCTGCAAGAGGAAAGGTCACTTCCCCACAGTGACTCCTAGCCCAAAAGCAGCGTCTTCAGTCCCCCCACGAGAGGCAGCTGCAGGAACAGGCAAAGTGACGAGAGTATTTTGGCTGCTTGCACTTACTGCAGAAATGTACTGGCTGTTTGTGAACCTGGGTTTCTCCTCCATCGCAGAGCTGTGTTGTGAACCTAGGGGCATGTAGGGGGGTGAGCCCATGTCTTCACAGAAGCTTTCTTGTGGGATGCTGGAGACACAGCCGCTGTCCGAGCCGCTGGAGCCGCTGCCCGACATGCAGTGCGATGACTCTGAGCTCTCTGTTGCTGGAGGAAGAGAGGAAGGTCACTCCGACGACCATGAATTTGGCCTACATGACCTGTGCCACATACGCTTGATAAGGTTATCTGTTTGCAGAGGCACTGGTCACACAAGCCCACAGATAAGCCACGCTCCTGTCTGGGCCTCTTTAAAGCCATAGGCAACAAAATAACTTAAGGAAGCAAATAATGCTGGAGATTGGTATAGACTGGCCAGGGAAGTTCACACAGGGGAAGCCAAGGGGTCGCTGGACCAGGCTGGCGAGAGCAAGGGACAGAGTGCTTCGTACCAGAGGGGCAGGCAGGCAGAGACACGAGCACTGGTCTCCAAGGCCACAGCAGCCCCAGTATGCGGCATCAAGCCTGCCACTGGGATGGCTACAGATCGGCGAGCACTTCACTAATCCCAGCGTCTGAGCTAACTCCCCCAAGAAAACTGAGACAGAGCTGGCGCGGAAGGGCAGGGGCCTCCCTTGCCCCAGTTTGGCTATGGGGCAGGGACTGCCATGACCCCAGTGAGCCCGGTCTGACCCCACAGCGCAGAGCAAGGTGTGGGGACGAGCCCGCACATCCCGGGGCGCCTTGTGGAGCAGGGAGCTCGTACGTACTCAGTGACGGCTGGCTGCTCGTCTCGTGCTCCAGCTCATCTTCCTCGATGCAGGTGCCGATGTCAAAGGGGCGGGTGGGGGCCAGGACGCCCGGCAGCAGAGCCTGGTCCAGGTACATGTGGAGGTTGAGGGGCCCCAGGAGGGAGGAGGAGGAAGGGCTGTATGCAGCAGGGGTGCTGCCAGCGGAGAGCTGCGCCTGCGTCCTCTTGTACGGATTGGAATGGTCGAACAGAGACACCGCGATTGATGCTCTGGTCCTGGCGCCTGCCAGAAAACATACCAAAAAAGCCCTGAGCACCAGTCCTGCCTAGCTCACACGGAGCAAGGGGGCAGGCACGGCTGGCACTCACCTCTGCCTTTCATGATGTAATCGATAGCACGGTCATTGATAGCTGCCTCGCTGGGTTTGATATCCAGGAACGGCTTGTTGCCCACACCCATGGAGACCATCTCCTGCATGCGGATTTCTGGAGGGGAAGAGACCCACAGCCACGTCGTGAGGTTGCTCCAACCCGCCCCACGGGCGCTATGCAACCCCAGGCCAGAGCACTCCTGGGCCAGGCTGCTCCTGAGACTAGATCTGTTCTCCCCTTGCTCCTCAGTCCTGAGGAGTCTCCGCAGACAAGCGATCACACCCTGCTCTGGCCAAGTAGCTCAGTACCATGCCACCTACGAGAGTCCTGCCAAGCGGGAAGCCTGGGGCGGAGAGGAGGGACTCAGCCAGACAGCGGCCACTGCAGTAGTGGCCTAGATCATGGGGAGAGCAGTGAGCCTTTCAGGAGCGCAGCCCACACTTACAGGGCAGGGAACCCTGTGTAGCATCTCCCGTTTCTCTCATGGAGTCTAGGTGGGTGTCCACACAGTCACACAGCGCTTGCACCGGTCAAGTTCCCCGGGGATGAGGGGCAGGGAAGGGACATGCCCAGCCAAGCCCAGCACATGCTCCTGAGGCTGCATGCTGGCACACAGCTGCTCGCTGCACAGAGCTGCCTGGTAACAGGCTCCAAACCTACTCAGGACAGCACGAGCTGAACAGGGCTCCCGCACCTTTTGCGGCACAGACGCCCCGGGAAGGAATCACACCTTTATTGCGGGCTGCCTGCTGCCACAGGATCTTGGCAATGTCACTGGTCCAGGCCTGCTTAGTCTCAGCTGAGCTGGCCTGGAGGATGTAGGTATCGCTGGACTTCCGCCTTCGGAACCAGATCTCAAAGCGCAGGCCACTGTCTCCAGAGTTCTCCGTCAGACCGATGTCTGCAGTCTGCCAGAAAAAGGAAGAGCAAAGCATCAACGGGGGCTCTGCTAGGAGCAGAAAGGATAAACTCTGCCTGCACCCTGTGCCAGAGCTACCCCCAGCTCAGCAGACCCAACGGGAAGGAGCCTGAGGGTCCGGACAGGAGCAGGTACGATATGGACACAGCCGAGCAGAGACAGGCCAGGCGATTCCCAGCGCTTCGTCCAGGCTCAGCACCCCCTCCCTGCCACACACACGCTGCCTCTCCCTCACACTCTGCATCCCTCAGAAGACCTTGGCCCCACATCTCACAGCACGGAGGGGGCCCAGGCATTAATGCGTGAAGTATTCCCTTCTGGTTTCACTGCATGGCTTGGAGAAGGCTTAGCAGTGGTGGGAGCAGCTCTTCTGCTGCAGGTGCTCCTGCTCCCCGTTTCGGAGCCATGTGTCCACGGGGAAACTAGCCATGGACACCTCCTGCACAAGAGGGAGCTGCAGGGCTGCCCTTACCTTGAAGGAGCGTTTGTAGATGTACACATCAAAGCCACCCTCGATCCTCTTAGGCTTGCTGAACAGGATCAGGTCCTCAAAGAGGAAGACGTGTCGCTGGCATTTCCTACGGCCCAGCCAGATGGTGAACTCGTCCTGCCGCACCAGCTGCCCCTGCTCCTTCAGGTTCACCTGGACACAGGGAATGTCCTTTTAAGACCCCAGCAGGATCAGCTCCAGGCAACCCCAGGCCTGGACATGGAAAGCCTGCTCCCACATGGCTGTGGCCCAGGTGGTGAAGAAGTGGCAGCTACCTGTCATGTTAGGAGGGCTCTTAAAGAGGTAGGGCTGCATGACACCGCTAGAGACCACACCAGGCTGAAACAACTGGCCCAAAGCTCAGGGGAGAGCTGCACCTCTCTCCTAGGCACGGCACACAGATGACCCTCTGCTGCTATGCTGTGCAGATCTGTGACAAACCTCTGGGTTGGCAACTGGAGGCAGCTACCAGAGCATTATCTTAGGGGGAAGAAGAGAGCTGAAGAGAAAAGGAGTCCCGTCAAACTGCCAGGAGCAGATCCGGGTCAGAAGGCCAGTCCCTCAGTTCTTTCTGTCCCAGATCCACCTTCCTCCACCCTGAGCCCTGTGGTTTCTCCTCCTCCTGTGCTGCACTTTGCATGCCTCTCCTTCAAGTCCTACCTAGCTGATTTTGGCCTACCCCTGGCATCGGCATCAGTTTGAATTCCTTCTTGCAAACTGCCTGACCCTCTTATCACCAGCTCAAAAGAGATGGAAGGGCTCAAGGCAGCCTGCAGGACGCCATCTGCAAGGGCTGCCAGGCTGCCTCACGTCACCAGTAAGCACCTGGGAGCGCGTTTATGACAAGCAGCTCACCCAGCTCAAGTAACAGCATCCAGGCTGTCTATGCTAGCAGATCAAGGAGACCTCCAAGCCCTGCTGGTCCCTTGCCCTGTACCCTTCCCCAAGTCTAGAGAAGGGGAAGGAGTGTGGCTCTGCTTCCCCGTGGAGGGGAGGACACTGGCACGTACGTCACAGTCGCGGATGGCGTCCATGGCCAGCAGGTCATTTCCATGCCGGAGCTGAAACTTCACCATCTCCTCAGCTGCACGGAGGTAGCCCAGCTCCTGCTCTTGTGCCTCGCTGCACTCCTTGATCAGGTCCTTCAGGAGCAGGGCGTATTTGCTCATCCGCTGGATGGGTTTCAGCAGGTAGGAGGCCAGGTCCATCTTATCCCCCAGCTGCACCTGCTTGAACTGAGAAACACAGCAGAGTGTGAAGGCAGCAGCTTCCCGTGGAGAGCCCCGTGCCCCCAGGCAGGCACTGACACCCACAGCTTTCCTGACTGGGGTACTCTGTTCGCTCTGCAGGGAAATGCAAGGCCATGGGACCAACGCTGCTGTATGCTGGGCTCCTTTCCAAAGCACTCACAGCATCTCTGCCCCTGTCCCCCCACATACACTTGTGCGGAGAGCTGTGCCAGGAAAGCAGAGGTAGTGCTGAGCACGCCTCAGGCAGGAAAGTTGGGCTTGTTTAAACAGATCGGTGACCCAAACACCAAGAGCAATCGTGATGTAGGCAGTGGAATTTACCTTGAAGAAGGTATTCCCGTGGCTGGCCAGCAGTGAGTCCGACTTTGGCTTGTTCTTGCTATACAATGCATACATCCCAAACTGGTCTTTCTGCAAAAGAGAGCCCCGCCTGAGACCAACGCACGCCCAGGACACAGTGACAGCCGTGCCCTGCGTTGGTGACTCTAGTACTTCTGCCTCTCCCAGGCTACACCAGAGCCTCCTATGGCATCAGGAATGACTTGGTCCTGTTACCCCTTGCCCCTTAACATACCCCAACGAATACCACTCACCTGGTAGCAGCAAACATGCATGGGGCAGCTGGGCTTAAGACCAATGCCCCACGTTTCTCCCTAGCAGCCCTTTTCAACAAGAGCAGCAGGTCTGTACCCCTCCACCCATTGAAGTCCTTCTGCACTGACACCACAGACAGAAGACAGGGTAAGGGATGCCTCTGCAGAAGCAGGTGGGTTTTAAGGAGCAGACATTTTGCTTGCTTCCCTGGCAGTGTCTCTTGGTAGCAAAGAACAACAGGAAAGGCAAAGAGCATCTGCTGCTGCCTGGGCTCAGCCTCGCAGAGCCATCCCAGTCCAACCTAGGATTTGAGCTGGCAGGGGACAAGCCAACCCAGCACAGGGTAGTCCTCCTGCTCCCAGAGAGCCACAGCCCACTAACACACAGGTGAGCAGCCAAATGTATAAGCACTGCTGGGCATAGGAGCCAAGCGCGTGTCCGGAGGAGCCCAGTCCCAGGGGGAAGGTGCTGATGCCTTACGTGTCGGAGGAAGCAGTGGCTAACCCGCAGCGGGTGGTTGCAGCAGCTCTCGAGCTCTCGCAGGAAGTACTGGCTGTGGAAGTCATAGAGTTTCTCCAGGTTGCCAAAAATGACGCTGCGCTTCCCACGCAGGTCCTGGGGGAGGTCAAGGCGCTCCATCTCAGGGAAGTAGCTATCGATGATGTAGCAAAGCGACCTCACGTATTCCCGCTCCGTGGTTACCATCTCATCAATGATGTGCCGCAGCTTGCTGCAATAGGAAACACTCAGCCTTGAAGGGACCCAGACTGCAGCAGTCTATGAGTGCCTGCAAAGCACTGGACTATCCCTAGAGAAGCTCTCCCTAAGACCCAGCACGGAGATGAGGTGATCCCTTAGCACCATCCAGGCTCAGATTCAGAACTGCCTGTGATAGCTCTGACCCTGAGCACTGACCAAGTTCGTGGCTGATCCAAGGAACTCTGTCGGCTCTTCTGTTCAGGAAGGGCAAGCCCCAGGTTGGCTGTGGTCCCGACCCAACCTCAGCAGGACACACACCCCTGAGCCCACCCGGCCCCTGCTCTGGAGGCAACAGGCTGCTCCGCAAATGGCTGCACTCCTGAAACAGCAGAGACAGCAGTAGTCACGATAACTTCCGTGAGGAGGAGTCAGCCTGATGACTGGATGCTCTGGGAGGCAATGTTAATCCTGGGAGAACACGAGCTCTGGACCCAGGTGCTGTTGGGCTTCTCCCAGTGAAAATGAGAGTGAGAAACAAACCTTGTATCGCTTCATCAGCAAACAGCAGTTCCTAGCGTGGGTTGCTCTGCATGCCTCTGAAAGGATCGCTCTTAAGTACTCGAGGTTTCCACTGCGAGGCAGTGCAGCACCAAACATAACTACTCCAACGTGTGCCTGCCTTCCCTGACTCTCAGCTTTCCCCTAAGCCAGCTCCTCCACCGAACACCAGGACTGCCTCAGCGCCCATGGACAGGAGGGCTGCTGCATCACTCCCTTGAGAGACAAAGCAGTTAGCCTCCTATCTGCTGGTGTTCGTCCCCTGCCATGAGCTTTCCTGACATGTCCTAGGATATCAGAGGCCCCTTCCAGAAGAATTTCACTGTCCCCAGTCAACCCATCCACAGCAGAAACAGTGGAGGAGCTCTGTGTCCCCCCCCTGCATCCAGCACTCGTTTCTCATCTCTGCCACCAATATTCCGCCCCCCCACCCCCCCCAATCTTTTCCAGTGAGAGCAGCTGAAAGACCTGCCTGGTGACCCCTTTTCAAGAGCAGCTCACATCCCCGGGCTCTCCATAGCCTAGGCATGTTGCAGTATGACAACAAAGTTAAGCTGAGATCCTCAAGGACAGAGAAGGAAAAGAAGAGAACAAAAGCCAGCTGTTGGTCACCCAAACAGAGATCTCAGCCCCAAAGGGCAAACACCCTCTTACCCGTGAAGCTGCTGTCACAGGGTACTGAAAGTGCCTCCCTACCAGTCTGGGTACGGTACCCCCCAAAAGTGTGCGGGATGATGCGCTATGCTCCTGCTCTCCCACTGCACCTGTACCACTGGTTTGCTAGGTCCCTGAATACTATGTTTCTGCAAACCCTCATCCTCCAATGCCAGCAATGTTCAGAGACTCCCTCTCCCGCCTGGGAACTGCTCTCTCCCCTCTTACGGAGGAACCATGCTGTGGGGGAAGAGCAACAGATCCCGTTTCCCTGCCGCCCCCCAGAAGCAGGTGCCAGGCTGCGTGGGGACATCCCTGTGGGCCCGCTCAGCACCACACGCACGTGTGCAGGGAAGCTGGAGCTACATCTCCATCTATCTGTCCTGTACCCATTGCCAAAGTAACTGTCGCTGCAGAGCTCTTCACATCTTCGCTGGCTGCCTTTTCACCACCCTGAGGACCAGAGCACCGAGTGTCACAGCCACTTACCTGCCCCAGCTCTTGGCTTCTGACACGGAAAGGCAGCCCCTCTGTCCTTCCAGCAGGCAGTCCGCAGCCCAGCTGTGAGCAGCTTGCTGCCGCAGCACGAAAGTCCTGTCCACCAGCTCAGTGCTGCTCACCTCCAGCCCCTTAATAAAGACGCCGGTGTTGCCGTATCTGGCCGGCTCGCTCAGCGTCCTCTGGCAGCCTGACCACAGGCTCTCACCGCAGGGGAGGTCAAAGCTTTGAGCCTTCCGGAGCATCCTCCTGGGAGGCGGCTTCCCAGAGGCTGGAGTGGAGGTGCAGGATGGCTTCACCTCCAGGGTTTCTAATATGCTCTCCAGGTTTGACTTTTCTTCAGGCAGCTTTGGAGACTTGGAGGCCCCGCTGGCAAAAGAAACTCTGCTCGAGTGTGGACCAGGGCTGAGAGCAGCTTGACAGGCAAATTCTTCCCCAGCACTGACATCGCCCGGGCAGCTCAGGGAGGGTGAGGGAGCTTTCTCCTTAGTCCACCCTGGAGAGCAGCTGGGCCTGTTGTAGCAGTGGGACCCGCTGTAAGTCCTGTCCCAGTGGGACCCGGAGGTGGCCCCCTCAGAGTGCCTCCGGTGAGACAGACTGCCAGCCTCGCTGCCAGCCCGGGGCTGCTCCCCCGCAGCTGGTTTGCGGTCTGACAGCAGAGACCTCCTTGTTCTCAAGGCTGCTTCGAGTTTCTTTTCAAAAACCAGCTTGGTCTCCTGGCATTTGGACCATGCAAATTTCCACTGCTTGAGTCCCTTGTCACTCTTCAGCTCACAGGCCAGCTCCTTCATCTCCTGGAACCGGGCATCGCTGATGTCCGGGTGCTGCCCCTTGTAACTCTCCAGGCACTTGATCACACCTGCACAGTGTTCAGCGGAGCTGCAGTCCTCCATGCTGATGCAGGCAAGGTGTCGCATCCCTTCCAAGGCCCACTCATACGCCTGCAGAGAGCAAGAACGAAAGGCAACAGCCAGTCAGAGGGATTTGGGGAAGAATAACCCTAATTCGGTGCCTAAAGTGCAAGACAAGAGAAAGGATCAGTGTGTGGCCACCACAGTTCCTCGAGTGTGAGAGGAGGGGGGGCTGCTATTGTCAATGGGGCTTAACAATTCAGCAAAACAAACAGCTCCTTATGCAGAGGGCTTCAGCTGTGCTGGCTGCTCTGCCACAGCTCCACCTCCCCGCCAGGTCCCTGTGACACTGGGCACCCACGCTGCTGGGCACGTTTGTCTTCCCTGGGCAGGGGGGCCCAGGGGAAGCTGTTGCCAAGACTGCAGGAATTCACGCCTCAGTGTGGCCCTGCTCGGTATAAAACCTGGAACTCGCCCTCCTCCTCTGCCCAGCCGTTCTCACCACTACCACGCAGGACGAAGTTGAGGGGGCATCAGTAAGCTGCAGGGAATGGGATCGCTGCTCCCTGTACCATTTCCCCAGAGCTGACGGCACGCAGAGGCCTGGAGCTCGATCAGAGCTGGGCTCTGTGTATCACCCCGAGTGCTCTGACCCATCCCTGCCGCAAGTAGGAATCTGAGACCGTGCAAGCCCAGCTGCAGCTTGTGCATTTTCCGTGCCTGCTGGCACCCGTGTGGTGTGCTATGCCCTGCCTACCTGCCTGGCTCTGCTTGCTAGCGCACTACGTGCTTGTGCTGGTTAGTTGAATACCAAGCTCAGCAGTTCATTTCTAATGCTCCAGGAATGCTGGAAGCAGTTTCATGGGGCTTAACTCTAGCAGTGGTGCATATGCTGGCCTTGCTAAAACAGCTCTGCCATATCAGTCGAACAAGAGGAGCGGGGCAAAAGGTGGTCCAATGTGACAGACGCAAGGTAAGAGTGCCTTACCACCATCGTGGGAAAGGGGCTAATGAAGCGCTGTGCACTAAGTCTGTCATCAACAAAAATGAGAGGAAAGGCAAATATCTGAATTAGTCAGGCTCATAAACCACTACTTTCTCTATAAAGCAGGCATGATGACAAGGTTTAACTATAGAGTAAATAAGATGTGACCAGCTGCCATAGGCCTGGCCAGGGAACTTTACTGCTCATCAGTGAAAACACAGAGTTAGTTCTTAAAATCAGATGCACAAGGCAGGGAAAACGTCCAGGACAGGCCTGCCTGGCACCTTCCACCAACTGCCCAGGACCAGTGGACGTGCGGAAACATCACAGGCTGCCCTTGGAGTGAGCCAGACCATCTCGAGCACTTGACCTGTCAGGCCCTGCGTACCTGCTATGTTTCTGCAGAGAAGCAACACTCATGCTTAGTGCCAGGAATGAAGTGATCAGCCTCAGACCATTTTCCACTTGCTGAACAGCCTTACTGTGACAGCCTTCGCTCAGAGAGCTTAAAGCACTTATTTTTATGCAGAATAGAGCCTTAGACACCAAGAAAATCCACCCAAGCTTTATGCAGACATGGAGCAGACACTGCATCCCTGTCAGGGACGTGGTGGTCAAACAGATCAGGTGCCAAGGTCACTCTCTGTTGGTGCCAGAGGTAGGCAGGGCAGGAGGTGCTTCATTCACGTGGTGCCTAACCCCTGGATGGGGACGGCTATGAAAGCCAAGTGCTGCTGTTTGTACAAGAGCTGAATGCCAGCACATGAGGGGTAGCCGGCAGACTGAGCAGAGTCACTCCAGGGACAGATGCCACAGGAGCTCCCACAGCCGTCCACATTGCTCTTTTGAGCTGCAGCTGCACAGCGTGCGTGCAGCCAGCCCCATTACTCATGCGGAGCAAGGAGCTGCTTCAGAAACATCAGCAGCTGCTTGGAGAAAACGCTTCTCAAACAGCCCCACGCAACCACAGCACAGGACAATCAGAAGAGCAGCAGCCCCCTTTCCTTCCATCACCCTGCCTAGTGCAGCAACAGGCCCCTGACCTGCCCCTCTCTTGATCCAGGCTTTATGCAGACATGGAGCAGACACTGCATCCCTGTCAGGGACGTGGTGGTCAAACAGATCAGGTGCCAAGGTCACTCTCTGTTGGTGCCAGAGGTAGGCAGGGCAGGAGGTGCTTCATTCACGTGGTGCCTAACCCCTGGATGGGGACGGCTATGAAAGCCAAGTGCTGCTGTTTGTACAAGAGCTGAATGCCAGCACATGAGGGGTAGCCGGCAGACTGAGCAGAGTCACTCCAGGGACAGATGCCACAAGCCCGGAGGTGGCCCCCTCAGAGTGCCTCCGGTGAGACAGACTGCCAGCCTCGCTGCCAGCCCGGGGCTGCTCCCCCGCAGCTGGTTTGCGGTCTGACAGCAGAGACCTCCTTGTTCTCAAGGCTGCTTCGAGTTTCTTTTCAAAAACCAGCTTGGTCTCCTGGCATTTGGACCATGCAAATTTCCACTGCTTGAGTCCCTTGTCACTCTTCAGCTCACAGGCCAGCTCCTTCATCTCCTGGAACCGGGCATCGCTGATGTCCGGGTGCTGCCCCTTGTAACTCTCCAGGCACTTGATCACACCTGCACAGTGTTCAGCGGAGCTGCAGTCCTCCATGCTGATGCAGGCAAGGTGTCGCATCCCTTCCAAGGCCCACTCATACGCCTGCAGAGAGCAAGAACGAAAGGCAACAGCCAGTCAGAGGGATTTGGGGAAGAATAACCCTAATTCGGTGCCTAAAGTGCAAGACAAGAGAAAGGATCAGTGTGTGGCCACCACAGTTCCTCGAGTGTGAGAGGAGGGGGGGCTGCTATTGTCAATGGGGCTTAACAATTCAGCAAAACAAACAGCTCCTTATGCAGAGGGCTTCAGCTGTGCTGGCTGCTCTGCCACAGCTCCACCTCCCCGCCAGGTCCCTGTGACACTGGGCACCCACGCTGCTGGGCACGTTTGTCTTCCCTGGGCAGGGGGGCCCAGGGGAAGCTGTTGCCAAGACTGCAGGAATTCACACCTCAGTGTGGCCCTGCTCGGTATAAAACCTGGAACTCGCCCTCCTCCTCTGCCCAGCCGTTCTCACCACTACCACGCAGGACGAAGTTGAGGGGGCATCAGTAAGCTGCAGGGAATGGGATCGCTGCTCCCTGTACCATTTCCCCAGAGCTGACGGCACGCAGAGGCCTGGAGCTCGATCAGAGCTGGGCTCTGTGTATCACCCCGAGTGCTCTGACCCATCCCTGCCACAAGTAGGAATCTGAGACTGTGCAAGCCCAGCTGCAGCTTGTGCATTTTCCGTGCCTGCTGGCACCCGTGTGGTGTGCTATGCCCTGCCTACCTGCCTGGCTCTGCTTGCTAGCGCACTACGTGCTTGTGCTGGTTAGTCGAATACCAAGCTCAGCAGTTCATTTCTAATGCTCCAGGAATGCTGGAAGCAGTTTCATGGGGCTTAACTCTAGCAGTGGTGCATATGCTGGCCTTGCTAAAACAGCTCTGCCATATCAGTCGAACAAGAGGAGCGGGGCAAAAGGTGGTCCAATGTGCCAGACGCAAGGTAAGAGTGCCTTACCACCATCGTGGGAAAGGGGCTAATGAAGCGCCGTGCACTAAGTCTGTCATCGACAAAAATGAGAGGAAAGGCAAATATCTGAATTAGTCAGGCTCATAAACCACTACTTTCTCTATAAAGCAGGCATGATGACAAGGTTTAACTATAGAGTAAATAAGATGTGACCAGCTGCCATAGGCCTGGCCCGGGAACTTTAATGCTCATCAGTGAAAAC